AACGGCAGAAAAATCTCTTACTCTGAATGATTCATGTAAGTGTTTTCTACTGAAGAAATAGGGCCTTTAAACTTGTTCATTACAAGTTCTCAGAATTACCCAGAATAACAAGGACACTTCAGAGAAAGAAGGGCTAATTTTATTTGTGAACACCACAAAAGAATTTAGATCCTTTGTATGGAGGGGAAAGCAGAAATTTCAAAGAACGATTTCTCCCTTGATTAATCTCCTTTGATCACATCTAACTACACGTGTCATACGGCGACGTCGTTGCATTGCACAGGTGATCCAGAGACAGTTGGAGGAAGTCGGAGAAAAGCAGAGGGACCTGGAGGAGAGAGGAGTGGCCATAGAAAAGATCATAAGAGGAGAAACAGGTACATTCAGACAAACCTTACAAACCTGTGAGTCTCAGCATTGCTTAGCTGCTTTTATTTGACAGGAGTCTGTACCATAACACCTTGATTCACTCTACTCTACAGCTCAATGGAATTCCACAGTGAAAGCTTCATTCTTTTTTTTCCCTTCTCGTTCTGTTTAATTGCACTGCCCATACTTCTCAGACCATTTAGAGAAAAGCACTGCCTTGTAATCCTGGTCTGGTTAAAAGCCTCTACATACGGTTAATGGCTGTGCTCATAATAGACACTAGGGACTTTATTGTTGCTTCATCTTTCTACAATACAGGCTTCTGTTTGTGTTCCAGTGAATAGTATATGACCCCGTGACATGATGTGTATGTCATTGAAGTTTGATTTTTTTTTTTCTTGCTGTGGTTTTTAAATAATTGATATAAATTCTGAATGTCTTTCTTCTTTTTTGATCCCTATCAAACCTCTTTTTTCCTCCCTACATCGTTCCCTCTTTCCCTTTTTTACAGAATCTCCTCAGACGGACGACAATGACGAGGCCCAGCTCTATCAGTCCTGGTTTAAGCTCGTCCTAGAGAAGAACAGATTGGCACGCTATGAGTCTGAACTCATGATCTTGTAAGTGAATGCATTATGAAAGCAATTCCCTTTTCTCGCATGTAGAGGTCTCACTATTTTCTCCTCTGTGTTCAGCGCTCAGGAGCTGGAGCTGGAGGACACACAGAGTCGGCTGCAGCAGGATCTGCGGCGCAAAATGGCAGTAGAGGGTACGGCCTTGAGCACACAGCGCTGCAGTCTGATATAATAGAGCATGCTCTTATTTCTGTCTTCTACTCTTTTTTAGATACAAAGAAGAGTGCCTCAGAGCTGCAGGAGGAACAGGTGATCCTCGCAGAGATCATGAGAACAGTGGAGAAACGAGACATGTTGGTTTCTATTCTGGAGGAGCAGAGGGTCAAGGAGAGGGCTGAGGACAGGGACCTCGAGAGCCTTGTGCTCTCCAAGGGCTATGAGTTCCACTGGGCCCGCATGGATGATAGCTGGGGCCAAGAGAACCAGGAGTGATGGCTGAAAACCGAGGATCTCACTCCGAAGAGGACAGATTAGAAGGAAAACAGGTTCCCACAATAGTTTGCTTGTGGCTTTTTTTTTGCAAAGCTATAAGTCTGAAAAATGTGGATGGAATCTTGAAACACTGACGAAGATTGTAAGACTTGATCGTGTTAGAAAGAATGGAAATTGACTCTTAGATAATGGCTTCCCGTATAGCCACGAGGGTTAATAACCTCTCTGCCAACTTTTCTCATCACTCAGAAGTGTAACTGCAATGTCCCATGCTGATACTGACCTGAAACTTGATGTATGATATGCTTAACCACCTCCGATAATGTGAGCCGCTGCCTTGAATGCCGGCACTCATCATAAACCAAACTGCCTTATTTGTGGCCGCTAGCCATAAGAGTGGACTTGTTGCGGCAGATTGGTTATTACTGTAACACTGTATCTTCACTGGATAGCACATGGAAGGAGTCAAAAGTTTTTCTGGAGACTCTTGCACAGCGTGAATTGTTATAAAACCAGAAAAATGCTTTAAGTATTTCACTATGAGTCACTTTATGTGCAGCCTTGTTTGTGACTGTAAACTCTTGTGCATATTTTAAATTTATTCACTTTTCTTTGGATCAAATAAAATATATTTGTATGTATGCTCAGGCACTAATTAACACCAGAGAAATGGAATCTGCCATGACGCTGCTGCACAGACAAACCACAGATGATCTAGGGGAGCCGTTTGATTCCTAGTTGTCTCATTGTACAGTTGGCTGGAGTTCAGCTAAAAAAGCAGCAAACAGCAGTAGCAAGACAGTCCACAGTGAATGGCAAAAGCATAGACTGTATATAAAAATGGAGGGGCCGCTTACTCCTCGTGTTGAATTCTCAAAATCAGCATTTTGGTACCACTGTGTAAATTTTTGGAACCAAAATGATCGTGATCTTGTTTGGAGTGGGAATTCATTAGCCTAATATTGTCAGACTTGAAGCTAATTAGTGCTAAGTAACAGACAAATACAACTGTTGAATTTCACTCACCAAAACTAAAGCACCAACTTCTTGGACAGACTATACCACCCTGTAAGCAAGGCATCGACAGCACAAAATCTGTGGAGGTCCAGTTCCAAGACTTAAACTAAAGAAGGTAAAGCCCAGCAAACACCGATGGGCGGCAGCTTCCTGTGTTGAGACACCTGGCAATGCTAGCAGCTGCAACCCTCTTTAGTATTAAATTAAAGAAACTTCTATGAAGACCAAAACAGGAGGCTGTAACCGGATATTTTTGTTTTGTTTTTTTATTGCTGTAAAAATGTACATTTTAACATGGGATTCACTTTCTGTGTGTTTAAGAATCAAATGGTTATCGTGGTTGAGGAAGACGACTGGTATCAGGAAACTGCTGCTAGAAACCGGCTGCTGTTGCTCGCTTCATCTGTGAAATTCATTATTTATTACAATTTGAAATCGAGACTATTCTAAAAACTTACTTCTTGATCCCCTTTATCACAAGCATAAAGAAAATGTCAAGAGGAAAAATCTTTAATCCACAAAATTAAACTTTTGGTCTAAAGTTTCACTCATTCTGGACTATCTTTGAACCGCCGTGTAGAAAACTGGAAGTCCAGAGAGTGGGAGTTCTCATGTACTTTTGTTGAAACTTGCAGATATCTCTGGCCTTGCTCCAGTAAGGCATACCACTAGCTGTGACATCCTGAAAGCAGCGTGCCCAAAGTGGATTCATCATCACATCAACTACTGTGAATGTGTCTGCAATTCACTGTAAAGGGCTGTGAGTCAAAATGCCATCAAAATGTCATCTCATGAAAAGATGAATATGTGTTTACATGAGTTTTAATGCTGATGCAAACTGCCATACTATTCTCTCGGTCCTCGGGCTTTAAATGTTATTTTGTTTATAATACAAATGAATGCAAATTAAATAATATAGAGTAAGTTTGGTTTTCTTTATCAAAAACACTTTCATGTTTTATTTTTATGCTGCTTTGAGTGTTTTAAATGAAAAATAATCTTAAATAAAAATGAATTTTTGGATTTCTGGTACTGTTTTATTGTTTGTCTTCCTCTGTTGATTGTAACAGCAACCTATTTCTTAATGCTTAACGACATAAAGACCAATATAAACAGTCTTAAAAAGCTGTTGGGCTTCAGTTTTCTTTGGCATTGATGCTACAACTTTCTGGAATGCTGTTGTGGTTTTACAGACACATGACCACTAACCACATGATGTTAACTTGTCTGCCGTTTTGGACATGTGACGATGTAGGATCAAGTGATTAAGGCCCCAGCCACACAGGCTTAGAGACTGGTCCCCAACCATCTGCCAACCATTGGTCATGAGGGAAAAATTAGTATTCCCCTACCTGTTGTGAGTGGTTGCTGGAGCTTGGTGGCAGTTGCTGGGAAAATAATTGCTAAAGTTCCAGTCACAGAGGCTTACAGACCCTCTGGTAGCCACTTGATATTATTAACAAAATTTACTTGTGATTGGTGTGGGTGCTAGCATATTGCTGTGGTTGTGCTTTGAATGGAAATGTTCTACAAACACTGGCTGGCTACTCTCCAAGCTGTAGTGCAACACAAACAGTCTTGAAACACACTGGTTGCACTGCTGAGACCCAACTTTTATTTTCAAGGTCAACCACGTCCCATCAATTTAAGTTTTCTTGTTAGCATTTAGTAAAAACTATGAGCAACGGTGGTTTTTGATGCAGCAACCTCCAGGAACCACTGTCAGCCATTAAGAGACTACACAGGAACCAGTGGTTGTACCCCATCCAGTATAGCGGACAACTCTTAAAGAAAGTGGACTTGACATCGCTAAGAAACTTTAATTGGAGGCTTGAACAAAAGAATAAAGTGAGTAAATAAAAATAAATAAAAGATTTAAAAAAATTAATCAGACAAAAAGAGTTTAGAAAAAGGTCCTTGTGGGGGAGGGGGTCATATTTCAGGAGGGGCTGGTAACACCCCATGTCCACCCCTCTAGGTATGGCCCTGTTTGTTTATTATTGGGTAACTTTGAGAAGCTAGAAAACCCCAAGTAAAAATTAAAGGGCTTTAATTATAACGAGGTCACTTTTAGGGTCCTTTGCATCTATTTCTGTTCTTGGCCTCCTATTTTCACCTCCTGCTGCTCCCAGGACAGCTCTAGACCGAGTTGGACCCTGTTCCCGCGGTCAGAAGCCTCCCGCCTGCTCCCAGCCCTCCTCCGCAGAGGAGGGGCCACGCACTCCAGCCAACCTCGGGAGAAAATGTCTGGAATTCCGTTTCCGCTTTAGGGAGTGGACAGCGATTTTCCCTTGGGTTTTTTTTTCTTTACTTTGACTTTCTAACAAACTTTCATTTCCACGTCAACTCGGACAGTTTTGAATTAACTGTCCCGGATTTAGTTGTCGTTTCGGCCATGGCTTCTTCGCCTCAGAAGTCCCCTTCGTCTCCTAAGTCTCCGACGCCCAAATCTCCGTCTTCCAGAAAGAAAGATGACTCTTTCCTTGGGAAACTTGGTGGAACTTTGGTAAGGAGGAAAAAAGCCAAAGAAGGTAAACAGCTAACAAAGTTAACAGTCTAGCAACTCTTCTGCTCCTCTGAATGCACTGTTTTCTGAACTAAACCCTCTTACAGACACATTTTATAGTATGTGCACGCAGCGTTGTACTCTATGACCGGCTTCAAAAAAATAAGTCATTACTACTACGCACTGAAGTTTCAGAGAGCCGACATATTTAGCATTTTAGCACTTGGCTATGTTTAAGCTTAGAAGAAGTTCTTTAACTACAACGTGCGGTGTCCTGTGTGTGCTTTCATGGCCGCAGGCTGTGTGGTCTGTACCCATGTAAGGTATTGAATCCGCTACTACTGTAATAAGCGAGGAATGAGGCAAGAGGGAACACAGGCCCGCTAACCACTGTAGAGGCAGCACCCATCGTGCTTTCACAACAGCTTTTATTTTTTAGTTTGACTTATTTGGAAGGCAATAAGGAGCGTTAAAATAGTTGTTAAAGGAGGTATACATATACAGAGACAATTTATATGTGGATTAGTCTTTTTTTTTCCCCTTCCAGAGTGCTCCCTCCGGGTCAACTAATTTAATTTAGGTAATAAAGAGTTCATGTGAGGTTGGTTTTATGGATCATGCTTTTAGCAGCTTAACATTTTGTGTTGCAGCTAAGAAACATTTCACTTTAACAACAGAGAAATTCACTTTGGATCAGACATACAGGCTGCAGTTATTTCAGCATAATTACAAGCTACATACAGATGCAGATGGGTAACAAATTAACCCAAACCTTTCAGAGCCAATACTAGGGTGAGTCATTTTAAAGGGGTGGATTGGGACCACTTGTTCAAACTCATTGTAGTTTGTTGGTGACATACACTAAATTTGATACCAGATGGGCAAGAACATTAAAAACAGTTAAATAGTGACAAAAAAATGTTTTTGGATTATTGTTATATGTAACCAAACATCCACTTACAAAACCTTTGTTTTGAACTATTGAGATGTGTTAACCTCTTAACATCCAGCAGGTCATTGGCCACCTGTCTGGTGTAAATTGGAATTTACAGCCTCACTTCTGTGTCCGCCTGGTCTTTAGGTATGCAGAGGAAAGGATGATTGTTATGTAACAAACACAGATGTGTTGGCATGCATTACTCATAAAGAAAACAGACACATAGCCCGTGGAAAGGACGCGGCAGCCAGCTGAGTTCGTCACAAAGAGGTAGAATCCTGAAAACAATTAAAAATAATAATATATCCCTTTCTTTTACTGAAAGGAAATATCAATATGTCCCACAAACGTTCACATGTGATGAATCATTTGTTTACTAAATAGACGATAAACAGGCTGAGATGTGTTAATATAAAATGCGGTCAGTTTCAACACTTCATCTCAGTTTTTCCACATTCAGTTAGTCGACTGTCATTACAAAGAAACAGACCAGCAGAGCTGCTTGGCATAACCAGCTTACTTTGGAAACATCTGTAGTTCAGACCTCTGGCTTGGATGAAATTAACTGTTGTGTTACCACTCTCATGGGCTCATTATCAAGGACTTACAGCTTAAAGCTTAAAGCTTCCTGGTGCTGAAAGTCCAAAAATGTCAGTTTTGTCCTCCGTTTTAAAAATGATATTCTAGTCCAGTGGATCCTTTGGCAACCTAGTTCATTCATTCATTCTGGTCTGATATATTAGGCCAAGCTCTCCACACTCCTTTCAGTATATTTCCAAAAACATGGAGAATTATTTCCAGGGAGGACTGAGTAATGCAATATTAGCTTTATTTGTAAACCACTTTAAAAACGACCCACAAGGAACCAAAGTGCTGTACAGAAGACTAGATAAGAGACATAGGGACATAGTAGCTCAGAGAAGTAGGCTGAGGCAAGACCACTGAGGGCTTTGTAAGCAAATAAGTTCATTCTAAAATGAATGGGCAGCCAATGGAGGGAGATGTGCTCATATTCACATGTGCCAATTAAAAGACCGGCAGTAGCATTTTGTACCATCTGGAGACGAGCGATGGAGGAACCACTAACGCCCATATAAAGTGCATTGCATTACTCCAGCCGAGTGGTGACAACGGCGTGGATTACTGTGTCAAAGTGTTGCCTAGAAAGAATTGGCTTTTATTTTAGCCAGCTGCCTTAGTTAGAAAAAGCTCAAATTATGCACTGCCCTGACGTCAAGCTAGAGGTCAGCATTCACTTTGACCCCTAGCTTTGTGATAGTTGGCTTGATATGCTGGGCCAAGGAATCTAGATCTATAGGGGTGGTGCAAGTGATGCTGCCAAAAACCGCTTCTTCTGAAAACTGGAGAGCCGTGCAAGCCTTTATGATGTCAGGACACTTTGCAAAAGTCTAACAGAGTGTGCGTCATTCGCTTGTTTTAATTTGCCTCAGTCTGTATCTATTTAAAGTGAACCTTTCTGTCATATATGCACTGTTTCAGCTGTGGATGATTATATTAAACATGGGCAAAGTTCCAAATATTGAGTATGTACAAGGAATTCAAGCTTATTGATATGGTAAGGTCCAGGAACTCAGCTCTTGTTATTACACAGGAGCACCACCCTCCTGCTGGCCAAAGTTTTGTTTGTGAGGGGCTACAGATGAAAGTTGGCTTGAAGGAAGGAGAGGTAAAACAGCTTGTTTTGAACTGTGAATCCTTTAAAGATGCTCTGAATCCTACAATGGTTTAATAGATAGCAGAGCACGTCTGGTTTCAAAGCACTAAGGCTACGTTCACACTGCAGGTCTTAATGCTCGATTCCAATTTTTTGATCAAATCCGATTTTTTTGTCTGCTCGTTCACACTACAAATAAAATGCGACAGCAAACG